CTTCTCTGGTGGAACGGCGAAGACGTGCAGGCAAAAGGTGTAGCGGAAGCTTCCAATAGCTTCCGCCTCCCCAGGTGCGGACGGCAGCGTCGAGAACTTCAAGCGCCGACGGGCCACGGAGCTCAAGCACGGGCGCATTGTGGCTCGGCATGGTGCGTTGTGTGGCCACGGCCCCCAATTTCTTGGGCGTTGGGAGAGTCTTCTTTCGCTTACTTGCGTTTGCTCCCAATGAAGGCTGACTTAGGCTTCCAAGGGCTCCCAAGCGGGGCATTCTGTGGGCACGTGTGGGCACGTGTGGGCACGTGTGGGCACTTGATTTATACTACTTGATCACACACATGCCTGCAGCGATATCGTGGGAAACAAGGCACCAGTAGTCACACAATCCGCCCGCGTCCGGATCCATTCTGCTACGACCTCTACAAAAGACCTTCCTTGTTTACATCGACATCCCTGCAGCAGAACACTCAAGGAGAGGGCGCGCGACGGGACCGTGAAACAAAAACAACTCAAAGCGCTCCAAAGGCAATGCTGGCCACGATGGGCTACATTACGCCTGAGCAACTCGGACATTGTTTCATAGTCGTGCTTTGAGTGTTGGTTTGAAGTCGGTGCACGTTGACGAGAAGTGGCTCCCTCGGTAAGGGGCCGAAGTGTACCTATCATGAGGGGTATTTAGGGTTTAGAGTTTGGCGTTTAGGGTTGATGGTTCTAGGGAGACCCTAACCTTTGAACCCCCCCCGAAATCCCCGAAGTGGGTCGATCCAAATTAGGATCCGACTTCGGGACCATGAAAAAAGATGTTCAGTTGTGCCCAAAAGGGAACTTCCATGTTCGTTGAAGCTTCATAGCGCAGCTTCGGAATCAGGCGTACTACGGTCAAAACAACAAAACATAGGATGTCAATGATGGCAAGACCGGGAGGCCTGAGAGGTTGAACATTGCAAGAAACTTAGAAACCTACTCAATGACGCAATAAACCTTGCAATCCTTAGAACGCCCTCTCAGGATCACTGGCAAGTTCCCGGGATACTTGAGCCCATCGGCCGGCTTGAAGTTTGCAGATGTGCCCAATGGCTTGGCTGCGATCTCCAAGGTTCCGACTCAGAGAAATTTCCGGAGTTCCGGTACACCACCACGCCCTAATAAGGTGCTTGAGTTTGCAGTTCGCACGCCTTACTCATCATGAAGCCTGAAGCTCCGAATGTATCAACCCACCACATGCGGAGACCACAAAGAGATTTTGCACCCCTCCTCTCCCGAGAGAAGCTAGCTTTGTATTCCTTCGGTTGCCATCAAACCCAACAGGTTCCCCAGGCTGGCTGGGGCCAGATCCTGCTGTACATGGCCTACTGCGAGGCGCCGTATAAGGTAGGTGTGTGTGTGTGTGTGTTTATAATATAAATATAGATATCAATATAAATAAATGCAGTTCATTTATATTTATATAGGTTATTTCGAGTTCCATAGGCCGGGTTCGGCTATAATCATATAACGACATATAAATAGTATAAGGTTATACTAGACTACATAGTTACCTTTTTTTTCGGTTGGGGAGGGGTGGCAGTTCAACACACCTTGTGGATCTAGAATGGCCTTGATTAACGGCAGTACTGCAAGGGCGCAATCGATCCGCGTGAGAGGGGCATCTGCCATAGCCGTGGTATGGAGCTGAGTGCGGGTTCGGCTTTACCATTGTCTAATGGAGGCTTGGTCGAAACCAACGCTGCACCAGGCCTCCCAGACCCAGGAGCCGGGCACCGCGGCCTACGCCGGAGACTTCGGCTTCAAGGTGCTCACTTCCAGCGACCCGGCCGAGAAGACCAAGAAGCTGAGCCTGGGTTGTGATAAGAAAAAGTTTGGTTTCCGAGCTGTCTCTTTTTCGTAGCAACTTTACCAGACTGTCATCGCCATTGAGGAGCGCGGAGTTGGCAAACGGCCGACTGGCAATGATGGCCATTATCGGCATGTGCCTGGCCGGCAGCTGTGTTTTTGCTTGAAGCCGTTGTCTGCCGTTGTCTTCCCGCACGTAGCTTTTGCCAAAGCGGGGCAACGTCGCTACGAACGCTTTGTCGTGCCACTGCGGCTGAGGTTCTTCCAGGATGGCTTGACTGGCAGCGCTTGGGGTGACTGGGCCAACTACACCGCCTCTCCGCTGCGCGCCTTCGAGAATGAGCTCGGCGTCCAGGATCCTGTCGGCTTTTGGGATCCCGCCGGTTTTACGGCCGACGGAAGCGTGGAGGACTTCAAGCGCCGCCGCCAGACTGAGATCAAGCACGGCCGCATCGCGATGCTCGCAGCAATGGGATACATTACCCCTGAGCAACTGAGCTGCAAGAGGTCAATGCTAGGGTGCCGAGTGTGTTTGTTTAGGAATAGGCCTTGCAGTTTTTGCGTCGCATTTTGCACAGTGGACCAAGGATCACTGGCAAGTTCCCTGGCTATTTGTCTCCATCAGCAGGCTTGAAATTCGCCGATGTCCCCAACGGCTTGGCCGCAATTTCCAAGGTTCCTGCCGCAGGCTGGGGACAAATCTTGGCGTACATGGCGTTCTGCGAGGTCTCCCAGGATCAGTCTGCCGGAACTCCGGCCGCAGCCGGTGACTTCGGCTTCAAGGTCTTGACTTCCAGCGACCCCGCTGAGAAGACTAAGAAGTTGTCAGCAGAGTTGGCCAACGGAAGGCTTGCGATGATGGCCATCATTGGCATGTTCTTCCAGGACTTGCCAAAGCACAAACTTCTCCGAAGCGTAAACTTTGGCTTAGCTGTTGCATGGAGCATCGGGCATTTCTTTGTGCATGCATGTCGCAAAACGATGTTCATGCGAAGGATGGCTTGACTGGCAGCGCTTGGGGTGACTGGGCCAACTACACCGCCTCTCCGCTGCGCGCCTTCGAGAATGAGCTCGGCGTCCAGGATCCTGTCGGCTTTTGGGATCCCGCCGGTTTTACGGCCGACGGAAGCGTGGAGGACTTCAAGCGCCGCCGCCAGACTGAGATCAAGCACGGCCGCATCGCGATGCTCGCAGCAATGGGATACATTACCCCTGAGCAACTGAGCTGCAAGAGGTCAATGCTAGGGTGCCGAGTGTGTTTGTTTAGGAATAGGCCTTGCAGTTTTTGCGTCGCATTTTGCACAGTGGACCAAGGATCACTGGCAAGTTCCCTGGCTATTTGTCTCCATCAGCAGGCTTGAAATTCGCCGATGTCCCCAACGGCTTGGCCGCAATTTCCAAGGTTCCTGCCGCAGGCTGGGGACAAATCTTGGCGTACATGGCGTTCTGCGAGGTCTCCCAGGATCAGTCTGCCGGAACTCCGGCCGCAGCCGGTGACTTCGGCTTCAAGGTCTTGACCTCCAGCGACCCCGCTGAGAAGACTAAGAAGTTGTCAGCAGAGTTGGCCAACGGAAGGCTTGCGATGATGGCCATCATTGGCATGTTCTTCCAGGACTTGCCAAAGCACAAACTTCTCCGAAGTGTAAACTTTGGCTTAGATGTTGCATGGAGCATCGGGCAATATCGGGCATTTCATGGCATTTCTTTGTGCATGCATGTCGCAAAACGATGTTCATGCGAAGGATGGCTTGACTGGCAGCGCTTGGGGTGACTGGGCCAACTACACCGCCTCTCCGCTGCGCGCCTTCGAGAATGAGCTCGGCGTCCAGGATCCTGTCGGCTTTTGGGATCCCGCCGGTTTTACGGCCGACGGAAGCGTGGAGGACTTCAAGCGCCGCCGCCAGACTGAGATCAAGCACGGCCGCATCGCGATGCTCGCAGCAATGGGATACATTACCCCTGAGCAACTGAGCTGCAAGAGGTCAATGCTCGGGTGCCGAGTGTGTTTGTTTAGGAATAGGCCCTGCAGTTTTTGCGTCGCATTTTGCACAGTGGACCCAAGGATCACTGGCAAGTTCCCTGGCTATTTGTCTCCATCAGCAGGCTTGAAATTCGCCGATGTCCCCAACGGCTTGGCCGCAATTTCCAAGGTTCCTGCCGCAGGCTGGGGACAAATCTTGGCGTACATGGCGTTCTGCGAGGTCTCCCAGGATCAGTCTGCCGGAACTCCGGCCGCAGCCGGTGACTTCGGCTTCAAGGTCTTGACTTCCAGCGACCCCGCTGAGAAGACTAAGAAGTTGTCAGCAGAGTTGGCCAACGGAAGGCTTGCGATGATGGCCATCATTGGCATGTTCTTCCAGGACTTGCCAAAGCACAAACTTCTCCGAAGCGTAAACTTTGGCTTAACTGTTGCATGGAGCATCGGGCATTTCTTTGTGCATGCATGTCGCAAAACGATGTTCATGCGAAGGATGGCTTGACTGGCAGCGCTTGGGGTGACTGGGCCAACTACACCGCCTCTCCGCTGCGCGCCTTCGAGAATGAGCTCGGCGTCCAGGATCCTGTCGGCTTTTGGGATCCCGCCGGTTTTACGGCCGACGGAAGCGTGGAGGATTTCAAGCGCCGCCGCCAGACTGAGATCAAACACGGCCGCATCGCGATGCTCGCAGCAATGGGATACATTACCCCTGAGCAACTGAGCTGCAAGAGGTCAATGATAGGGTGCCGAGTGTGTTTGTTTAGGAAAAGGCCTTGCGGTTTTTGCGTCGCATTTTGCACAGTGGACCAAGGATCACTGGCAAGTTCCCTGGCTATTTGTCTCCATCAGCAGGCTTGAAATTCGCCGATGTCCCCAACGGCTTGGCCGCAATTTCCAAGGTTCCTGCCGCAGGCTGGGGACAGATCTTGGCGTACATGGCGTTCTGCGAGGTCTCCCAGGATCAGTCTGCCGGAACTCCGGCCGCAGCCGGTGACTTCGGCTTCAAGGTCTTGACCTCCAGCGACCCTGCTGAGAAGACTAAGAAGTTGTCAGCCGAGTTGGCCAACGGAAGGCTTGCGATGATGGCCATCATCGGCATGTTCTTTCAGGACAATTCACAGCACACATTTGTCAAAGCATTGTGTCAGCTGTCGCGTTCAATTGCCTAAGAAAAATTGATCGTGTGAAGGATGGCTTGACCGGCAGTGCATGGGGTGACTGGGCCAACTACACCGCCTCCCCGCTGCGTGCCTTCGAGAGCGAGCTCGGTGTTCAGGATCCGGTCGGCTTTTGGGATCCTGTCGGCTTCACATCGGACGGTGATGTTTCTTCATTCAAGCGCCGCCGTTCCGTTGAGCTCAAGCACGGCCGCATCTCGATGATGGCTGCCATGGGCAACCTCCATTGCATTTACTGATCCCGCGGGCATTCCATGCCAAATATCACCAGTGTTGTGCGATGATGTAACGTCTCCCTGATGAAGCACCATTCGCTGCTAAGGCTACATCACTCCAGAGGTCACGGGAAAACTGTCCTGTCCTCACACGAAAGCAGAGGGTCACAGGTTCAAGAACAGGCCGTGATTTTGGAATATTTGTGTTTGACGCATGTTGCGCGGTTACATGTTGGTTGCCTCCAAGGCCGGGATTTCTGTCCCCATCAGCGGGCTTGAAGTTTGCCGACGTTCCCAACGGTCTTGCGGCAATTTCCAAGGTTCCCGTGGGTGGTTGGGCCCAGATTGCCGCTTATTTCGGCTTCGTTGAGTTCAGCGGCGGCTTCGATGATTACAAGACGGGCACTCCTGGCGATTATGGCTTCAAGGTGCTGACGTCCTCGGACCCTGATGAGAAGACTAAGAAGTTGTCAGCGGAGTTGGCCAACGGAAGGCTTGCGATGATGGCCACCATGGGCATGTTCTTTCAGGACGGTGCGTTGCCAATGCACTTTTTTGGTTTTGGGTGTTTTGGTGTGAGAAAATGAAGTTGCGGTACCTCGGGCGCCCCAAGTTTTTCTAGCAGTTTGAGGTTTGCACGCATTCTCGCTTGTATGCGTTTTGCCGGCACCGCTGTGTTAGGGGGGTCTGTTCCGGAACTGATTCTGCTAAGCTATGTGAAGGTTATTAGGGCGACAACTTTTTGATAGTGTTTTGGAAATCTGGTGCTGTGCTTGGCATGGCCAAAGATCGGCTCCCACGAATTAGGCAGGTTACGCTCTTGTAAGATATTCAAGTGTTCACGGCAGCTTGATGCATGTGACCCATGCAGTGTGTACAAGAACCATCTGCAAGAAGGCACATTGAAAACAAAGGACGTCAAACATCGCTTTTGTTCCTTCGTGCAGCTCCCTTTGTGGGAGCCTGTATACTTTTCGGCATTATGATGTTTATCTTTACGTGAGCACGAAATTCCACGTACCCGACATTATTGTTTCCGGAGCTGCACTCAGCCCCATGTGTAGGTTTTCGCGTGTCACGCATGTCACAGGACGGTTTGACCGGCAGCGCCTGGGGCGACTGGGCCGCCTACACGGCGTCGCCGCTCCGAGCCGAGCCCGTGTCCGCAGCCGCGGCTGCCGCAGCAGCCAAGGCCGCAGCAGCCAAGGCCGGCGCGAGCGCGGGAGCGAAGACCGCCGCGGCCACCACGGGCATCGGTGCCGGCACCGGCAAGTCCCTGAGCGGTGAGGGCGAGGAGGTCCCCCCCGAGCCCACTTTCGACCCGGCCACCGAGGTGGGCGTGACCGAGCCCTTCGGATACTTCGACCCGGCTGGCTTCTGCAAGAAGGGCGACAAGGCCGGCTTCCGCAACTTGCGAGCGGCCGAGATTAAGCATGGCAGGGTTGCGATGATGGCCGCGGTGGGTGCCGTCGTTCAGCACTACGTGAAGTTCCCGGGCTTCGACAGCGTGCCTGCCGGACTCGGCGCCGTGGAGGTCCCGCCGGGCACCTACGGCTTCGCGGCGCTCTTCGCGGTCTCGGGCTTGCTGGAGCTGGGCGCCTGGACTGAGGACCCCTCCAAGGAGCCGGGCAACTTCGGCGACCCCGCGGGCCTGGGCCAGTACACGCTGGAGATGCGCAACCGCGAGATCAACAACGGCCGCATGGCCATGTTCGCAGCCATCGGCATCATCGCCGCCAACGTCTACACGGGCAAGGACGCCATCGAGCAGTTCGGCCTTGCGTGAGCAGGTGAAGCGGGCCTCAGAAATGAGGATCTCAGAGGCGAAGCAGCCTTTGCATGGAGGGGCAGCAGCGACACCAATAATTCATTTTCGCAGCTCAGAGCTGCCTCGGCATCTTTTATCTCTGGTATAGGTCTCCGATGTCCCCGCATATTCGCCCATCCTAGTGAGCCTCGTATGTGCTCTTACAAACTTTCCTAAGCCTAACTCCAATCTTTACTATCCCCATCGTAAACCCCGAAGAAGCCCTAGACCGACCTCTGTCGCTGAGCCTGCGAAAGCGAGGCTCAGCGGTGATCGTGGGTATACAAACCAGCGCAGCCAGCATGCAAAAAGAGCTTCCGAGGGGAGCCAATACAATTCATAATGTTGAGCCGCTTCTGTGCCGGCACCCCCGATGTCACAATGTCGGCATGCTTGCCGGCGTTGTCAGGACCCAGCGACTGTTCGGGAGGGTCCCCAATTGTTCAAGAACATGACAAGTCCAGGCGTCGTGTGAACGTTTTGTGCGACGCGCCTTGAATGTTAGTTGATGTTAGTTGCCAGGCCCCCCCCGTATCCCCGGAGTGGTTCCTTAGAAATCCTGGGCGAGCGAACGAGCGCGAGAGAGGGTGCCTTGGCTCCTGGAATCTCCCCAAAACCATGCAACGAAACGCCCTCCAACAACACTTAAACACTCTTAAATGTTTGCGTTTTTTGGTGTGCTGCTCAAGCGCTCAAAGAGCCACCGCGGACCCGAGACAGCTTAGCTCGGGTTTTGTGGGTAGAGGTTCTTGGAGGTCGCATCCTGCAATGACCATCAGGATGAAAAGCACATCGTTGGCAAGCTCAATTGCAGTGAGACGTTGAAGTGGAACGCAAAGGGATCCCCGGCTCTGTCGCTCAAAAGCCCTCCACCCTAGACGTTTGTCCCCCAAGCCCTTCAACGATCAGCTTCAAGCAAGCTCCGCGATGCTCCGCGCCCAATCGTAAGATCAGCCGTGTACCGGGGCCTGACCTCCCTGACCGAGACGAAAGCCTCATCTCATCCCAAACGCGATCGTGGCCGAACAAAAGCCCCCGAAGTCAACGCGGAGGCTTCTCTGTTAGGCCTACGGCCTACGGCCATTCCCTCCCCCTTCACACCTCTGGCTTTCCTACAGGCTTGCGGCATCTCTCACAAATCCTCAAGAATAGATTTCATCCCGATCTATACCGAAGCCATTCTCCGCTTCCAAGCGTTCGCACGTGCCCTCTCGCCTTTGGTGCAACTCGACGCGCTGCTCTCAGCAGTTGCTAGAGGGTAAAGTTTCGGATTGTGGTTACGGTTTAGGTCTCTGAGTTTGTGACATGTTGTGATCTCCAGGGCTTCTAGAGATTTTGAGAGTGAGAGCTTTGGGCATTGGGGTTCACGCCAAGCCCTGGAACTCCAAACTCTCGAAACGCTGGAAGTCCAGATAGCTGAACGGCTGAGCGGCTGAACGTTTCGGGGCTTCGGCTGTCTGGCGGGGACGTCTCGGATCCCGGTGGGGTCGCTTTGGAAACCCTAAATGCCCTATATGTAAACCCCGGAAGCCCTAGACCCTATGAACCGTTAAAGTTGGGATGTTCCCCCTTACTTATCAGTTTATAGGGATGATAATGGGGGCTACTACAATCCCTCTTAAGTTAGTATAAGGGGCAACATCCCAACGTTAAAGCCTTAAGTTTGCTACCTTTTCCCAATGCCCAGCCCCATCCCCTCGCCCTACAAACTATCGCTAATCATACGGCACCCCGCAGCAGAATGCTGTCGGTGTTGGCAACCCCCTTTAGCAGAGGCAACTGCCTTATCTTCCCTGCCAGCCCTGCTAGCTATTGATTCCATTCATTTGCAATTTGGTTATCCGCACCAATCATTGCAACTGCTTTGTGTAGAGCTTGAGATCTGGTTGTTGTATGAAGTCCATATATTTACAACCCTTTGAGCTTACATGTTCTCGGCGACACAGCGAAATCCCCAGATCTGCCAAGCACCAGGTCGGTGACCATGACCGAGCGCCGAATCGATCCGGAGGACGGTGTCGCGTGCGCGGGGGGGGGGGGGGGGGTTGATCGAGCGGACTCTAGCGGCACGTTGCAGAGACGTGCAGGGTTGAGCTTGCAGCGTTTGAGCCTCCATGTCCTCAAAACCCGGCTGCACTTGAAAGAAGCCTGGCGTCGGGCACCAGGGCTGTTCCTCGCAAGAACCCAGGACCTAAATCAGCTGAAGTGCAAAGCAAGGCACCTCGAAGCTGGTCTTGGGCTTAGGGTTACGGATGGCTTGGGTGCCGGCTCTCGTGTAATTTGGGTTGGGAGGTTTCAATTTAGATGCCACAACTTAAAACCAGAAGGCGGAACAGCGAACCTCGGAATTCACAAACCCCTGAGAGCCCCAACTTCTCTCCAGGTACACCTGGGAGGAGTTTTCGGAGTACTACGCCGGCAAGCCTGACCCCTAGAGCGGCTTTGGCGGTGTAGATCCGATCTAGCGTTGGGAGTGCTGAGACAGGAAGGCAGACATTCCATGAAATTCCATGGTTCGAATGCAAGCTTCGTCGTTTCAAGAGAAAAAATTGAGTGATAGTTCCCGGCTCTTGCTCTTGGCAGCTCGCAGGGCTCGGGGCCAGCCATTAGTCCAGAGCAGAGCTACCGAGTTCTGGTTGGTCGGTACTAGTCAAGGAGTCAAGGAGTCCAGATGAAGCACTTCAGATGGTCTCTGGGACTCCAAGATTCTTAGCCGTGCCTTGTCAGTGCGTCCCCGTCGGTGGGATATCACGGGGCAAAGATCTCGCCATCGCATGAACGGGTGCTCGGCCGCTGCTTTCTCTAACCTCACGAAGCAGCCTATGGAGCCATTGCCATGGGGCTCTTTCCGAAAGCCGAGGGTTAAGAGCAGCTTACAGCTCACGAGTGTCTGTCCCCATTGAAGTTCTGCATTGAAGAGGGCTTCAGCCGAACAAGCCGAGATTTGTGTTTTTTGTTTGTCATGTTAAGTCATGTTGTTGTCTCCATGTAAACTTCAACCTTGGTTTGGAGTTTCGACGTTGATTCTTGTCGGGGCAAGGATGGGAAGCTTGGGGTTGAGGAATTCAGTCCCAGCCCTCTGGTCGCGATACTCGTATGGTTGAGTTTGGGCAGGTCTAAAACCATGCTCGACTTGCACTGCGAATTTAAAGCCTCGTCCGTGGAATTGAGTGCACGGCTTAATAAGAATTATAGGTGCTGCTGTGTGTTTTCAGACACTGGTGTGAATTGATTTACATGTCATCCTGGCATTCCTGGCCAGGTACAAGAAGAAGGTCATTGCCTCCTACTGGGAGGAGTGCGAAGTCAAGAAGGGCCGCTTGCTTTGGTGAGTTTTAGGGCTCGATTGGGTCTGCGCCCGACAGCCGGAAAGCTTTGAAGCCCAAGAAGACCCAAGAGCACCCTGAATTCCTGCAAGCCCCCAGAAACCCAGGACACAACGCTTGAACCCTAAACTGCTCTGGGAGACGGGTTGGTGGTGGTGGTGGCCCCAAACCACTACTCAGCAAAACTCATTGTGTTTTTTTGCTGGGGCTCATAAATATCCTTCCAAGCCTCCCCCGTCGGTACCCAAACTCGTCGGGTTTCGGGGCACAAGGCCTGGGCAATCACCTTGTTCTAGTGCAGCTCGGAGGGTGGGAGGTACTGCTGCTGAATCAATGAGTTCCTCGAGCCATCAAAACAAAACACCAATGACAGCCAACCACCTCGAACAAGCTTCCTGAACCTAAATCCTCTAGCCTTCACCCAGAAGCAGAAAGCAAACACTTTTGGCACATCCCCCAAGACCTCTCCAAACACCTCTCCAACAACCTTCTCCAAACGCCTTCTCGAAGTGAGGCAAGAAGAAGGCGAAGGCGCCCCCGGCCCCAGCTCCCAAGCCGAAGGCCAAGGCCAAGGCCTAGGGGGCTCATTTCGTAGTAGGCTCATTGAAACTGGGGGGCTTTCTGCTGGCTTTGTGACCCGTTTGTGGGTGTTTAAGGGACATGATGGTCCATTTTTGTTCACGTGTAGCTGACGAAGACCAGGGAGGCCGAGTCACGAAGCATGCTTCCGTGCGAGAAAGACAGAACTTCGGCAGGTTTTGTCGATCGTTTGCTTTGTTGAGCCCGTGGAGGGGTCTACCCCGCAGCGTTTTCTCTTCAGCCCCCAGAATTCAGTTGGGACCTTGCGAAGGCGAAGGCCAAGGCCGAGTCGAAGAAGCCAGAGCCCAAGGCCTGGAGGGGTCAAGCAGTCAAGCAGTTATCCCAACCACCAAACGAGGTTTCTCAGGGGCTTCGAGGGGCGTGGGTTCATGTTCATTTTTTCATATTGCATTGAGGCAAGCAAGGGCAGAGCCATGAGAGCAACAATCGTAAATCGTCTCCAATCACAGCCATAAGCATACCATAACGATATTGATGAAACTTTCATTGTTTTGGTTGTTGCATGTTACCAATGTTGTTAATATTGTGAAGGCGAGGTCGGAGTCAGAATACGACTTTAGGTAAAGTTTCGTTGGGAGATGTCTCCGACCTTTGCAGAAGTGCATTGGGAGACCTCGCGCTTGCGACAATTTGGGCTCTGTAGACTGTACGACGAGAGTCGTAGGGCTTCTTGTGGGTTGAGGAAAGTCAGGGCCCCTATATAAGGCCTAAAGCCGAAACTGTAAACCGTAAACCTGACCCTATACCCGACCGCAAGAATCTGTTGCATACCACCAACATGCCAGATGGGGATATCTGTGATGTTGCAAGAGGCAAGATGTAAGAGGTAACAACATAGAAGTCGGATTATCTCGTCATCCGGCTTCATGGAATTATTGGTTCCTTCTGAGAGCAGGGGCCGATCGGGGAGAGGCGACTCTGAAGCCCGCGCAGTACAAAGACCTCTATGAGCAGAATCTGTTTTTCCAAGTGTGGGGTCAGAAAAGCCTACGAACCGAACATGTTGAAAGACGCTAAAAACCCAAACATCGCTAAAGCCTCAACATCCAAAGG